AATCGTTACCTTGAAAAAAAAAAAAAAAAAGAAGAAAATATTTAAAGTATTCGATAAAAGAATATCTTCGATTCTGTCGAACGATCAAACGATCTTACTAACCTGTTCTATTACGTAATGCGTTTCAGCGGAATCGGATATTTGCACGTTCGCGACGAGGACGGAACATTTTCACATGGTTAACAAACCATCGACGGCGTTGTTCACATCGGACACCAGGCCGAAAGCCTTGAGGGAATTGTACGAGGCTGCCGCTATAGTCGCTGTCAGAAGTTTGGATAGCCTGAGAAGGGATGGCAGCTCCATGGATATGTTCCTGTGCACGCCCGTCCTTGGCAAGAGAAGGCGAGACCAAAGTCTCGACATCGAATCCAGGATCGTAAGTGTAATAATCCTCCTATGGTGCGAATATTCGGATTACCTCGAAACATTCCCATTCATATTTACCCATCATCCATTCGTCCCATAATTATTTCTCTCCTCTTCCATCGATCGAGAGGATTTAACGAAACGAAATTTATGCTGGTAGGCTCGAATAAATTTTTATTAATTCGAGAAATAATAGCGAGAAAAATTTTCGAGAATTTTTTCCATCCACGAAAAGTTTAAAAACTATAAAAAATAAAATATCAAATTTTTCGTTTCGAAAGCGAAATATTTATTACTACAATTAACTGGATATTAAATTTTTCAAGAAAAAAAGGAAACGATAAAAATCTTTTTTTTTTCCATCATCAATTAATGCCACGAAGCCAACTATTCTCGAATCTTTCGTTGCTCAACGGAACGATACACCTGTACGAACGTAAACCAGAAGGAGGCACGAAAGGATTGGATTTAGCCAGGCTGCGTATCTCTGTTAAATTGTAATCCCATTGGTGTGGCCAAGCAACGATAGAGCCGTGGTTCAATGGGAGATGTCATGGGAAGTCAGGGAGATACATTGAATTCACGGTGGTCGGGGGGCCATGAATCGTTCTATAACGATACGTATCGTTCCCTTGCATTATTCTCCGTTCCGTTAATGCATTAGTACATTAATAACGCACGATCCGATCCGACTTCTCCGATCCCTTCTCATTTACTCTTATTAGGGGCTATTATCGACCACGTATTTTTCCTGTATTATTTAATTTCGCCCGTTCTTTTAATTAGCGTCGTTAAGCGGCAATCGAGGAAAGTTTTGAAAGTAAATTTGATCGTTTGATTGTTTCGTCGAGAAGAATTGGAATGTTGATGATGGAAAGTTTTATGGCACAAAGGTTCGATACGATTTTGCGTATATAGGGTGTCTTATTGGAAATATCTTATCTCTTATTTATTTCTCTTTGAATGTTTATTACTTTAAATCGTTAAATCATTCTTACCACTTTTACTTCGTATCTCATTTTTAAATCGATATAAATTATTTCTAGAATGAAATAGATTCGGAGAAACTTAATCTATCCTCGTAATATCCATCAACTCGAAATGAATAATCGAAACGAATAATTATATATCCACAACGTCGCGCAACACGCGATCGAAATTCATCGGTCAAAGAACCGAAAAGCCAAATTTTTCGTAGAACCCAACCACCTGGCCAATAAAATTAGGCACAGTCACTATATACAAATCCATCATTATACACATACACTCACACATGTATTTCCGTTTCGAAGATGGAGCGTTTGTTCCTTCGTCTCACACCCACCATCGAGAGGTTGTGCACGGTTATTTCACGAAATGGAATTGGAACTCGTTTCATTGCCCTGTCAAACGGTTAATTCACTCGGTGCCGCGACCCGAGCCATAAATCCGCTGCTCGTATTACAGTTCTCCACCCAGCCACGCACCGCCATTAACAATCGGCCATTATCGAAAGTCGATCAACCCTCGTCGATTTCTCGTGGATTTCCAGAAGTTTCAGAGATCCCCTTCTCTGTTATTATTATTTTTTTTCCCCTTCCTTCTTCTTTTTATTGCGGCGACCCCGATTTTCGTTGCCCCTCGTCGTGGCAGGAAGGCGTTCCCTGTTGATATTGACAACAACAAGAAGTCAGAAAGGAGACTTCCGGCCTCGATCGAGGGGAGAAGGAAATCAGAGTTCTTTGATCGCGGTGACGTTGGAATTCTTGGATTCGAACGTCTCGTCTCAGAGAGTGAAGAAAATGCGAGAGGCTCGACGGAAATCCCTCTTTTCGACTCCCCTTTTCGCTCTTTCGCTATTCTCGACTTTTTTGATTTATGTTGGATTAGCAACGTTTCGAAGGATAATCGAAATATATTGCGTAGAAGGAAAAATTATTTAGATTTTCTATTCTAAAATTTATTCCACGAATATGTTTGTATATGTTTGTATAAGAGTTCGTAGCTGTTTTCAAAGAATATTTTTTCTTTTCAGTCGTTGAAGTTATATGAAGAGTAACTGATGAAAAAAACTGGAATAGAATACGATTTTCATGGAGAACGATGATCGAATCGTTTAAAAATTTGCTCTTCTCTCGAGATGTAATGTAGGTCTTTGATCCACTTTAACGTTCATCTCTATTCTCATCAATTCTTGGAAATGGAATCTCAGATTGAGGTTATGTTTATATTCGGCCATCCGGTAAGAAGATCAATTTTAGATGCGGAGGATCTATGAAATATTACAGAATAAGTAAACTTTTAAAAAAATATCAAAACTGGGCTTTCATTATCACTTATTTGTATAATTTAAATAACCCTTTCTATTCATTGATTCATCAAAATTCCCTCTCAATTGAATCTTCGAAATGCAATATTCGAAATAACCAATCACCATTTTTTTTCTCGCATGTGATCTAGAACAAAACGAAAGGAAATTTTTCGGTGTATCTTCATCCAATTCCTTTCCTGATACAACCAAATACGCAGCAGATACGTATACGATAAAAAGATGACCCCTCTGTGTTTCGCATCCGAGGAAATCGGTTATCACACGTTACGTTCTCCCAGATAAACGAAGATTTAATGGCGGGACGTCCTTGAGGAATCCTTGATACTTCGGAGGCAAAGTTCACGAGCTCGTGTGACGACCTCTATTCTAACCTCACTTATCAACCTCCCCGGCTCGTTTCTAGCCACACGCTAAGATTTATCGATGCACACGCGTCCTTCGAGGAAAGGCTGCGCAGCAGGTTGTTCTCTGGCAAGTAGTGATGGCACGAGTCTCAATTCGAAACGATTCCAAATTTCTAACCCTATGTATCGATTGTGTAACGATTAAAAGAAAATTCTTAGAACGAGTATCGATGAATTTTGTCGAGATTTAAGAAGTTTCGATCAAAGCGACTCGAATTTCGTTTCATGTACAAATATTCGTTGTATGTGAACAAATACGGATTCGAAGTGATTCGAAACCCATCGCTACGGCGAATCGAATCTCCTACGGCGATAACCAGGACGTTTTCCTCTCGTTCCTTCGGGCTACCTGTTAATAGAGTGGAATGGATCGAGGAGTGACTCGAGGCTGACGTAGCTGGATCACGTCTAGCTCTTTTCCAGATTGCTTGCGATTTTTCTTTTCTTTTTTTTTAAGAAACGAGCGTGATCGCATAATTCTCGCCTAAAAGTACATTTCATTCGATTCTTATCAACACTGGGATCGCCAAATCGAGTGAATCGTCGGTTGAATTAAAATTAATATTAATTTCTATTCCAGATAATAATTAAACGTAATTACATTAACAAAGCGATTAATTAACATTAGAATCGCCAAATCAAACGAATTGTCGGTTAGAAAATTAACTGTAGATTTAAAATTAATATTAATTTCTATCTCCATAATACTACTTTATAACTTACAACGAACAAAACGATTAATTAACACTAAAATTGCCAAAGCGAATTGTTAACTGTAGACTCTGATTTAAAATGAATATTCACGTATAATTATTTGCACACCTACCCCATCCACCACGAACGGTGGAAAAAATTCGCCAACTCAACGTGTTGCAACACGTTTCATAACCTAATTTTTTCGAAAGCCGATACATCGAAGTTCTACAGCATCGAAGAGGGTTGAAATGAGGGTTTCGGTGGTAAGCCGCGGAGCCGGTTCGCGAGGAGGGGAAAAAAATCGGTCGATCCATTTTCACCTGGCTTGAAACGAGCTCCTCTGTTGGCGCATCTCTTAGTCAGTTAGAAAAGGGCCCTGCCTGAAACACAATCCGTTCCGTATCCCGTGCGTGAAAGCCGGTTGGTCACGAGGTGACATCCGACAATGCATGTGCCCACGCGGCTCCCCAGCGCGTAAAACAACGTCGCTCGCTTTTCTTTCGCCGCAGCATCAAGTTTCCTCCCGAGGAGGAAGGAGGAGGATGCTATGACGGCCGCTTCTTCCAATAACGCGGGGAAAGAATACGAGATTCGCAAAGTTCCTCTGGCCTTTGGAATCGGGTGGAGGGTGGGTGGGGTGTTTTTTCGAGTGCTCACGCGTGATTCGTGTCGTTGCAGCCGGCCGCTATCGAGGATCTGCGAAGATGGACGTCCACGGAGGCGCTCGGGGACGTTACAGTGCCGCCCGATTGCATGTCCAGGATCTTGGGAGATACGACGACCGACGACGCCGTCGATCACAAGCTTCCCAGCCCCGAGGAACAGGTCCAAGCCATCGCTCTCAAGTAAGGGAGATCTTCTTTTTCCCGTTGTTGAAGGGATAAGAGATATCGATGATTCGATGGGGGAAGAGGGGATTTCGCCTATTTCTTTTATTTTTCTAGATCGAGTTTGAAAGATTTCGCTAGAATTATGGAAAATTTAAGATTTGAAGGCAAAATTTAATAGTCACTTGGATAATTTATTGTTCAAAATTATTTATTATTATTCGAGATTTTTAACTAATCTTTTGTTTTAGACAGTTTTTAGGAAACGAGAGAATGGATTTGTTTTATATCCTTTAAATTTTTAATTTGACTTATGAGAGAATTCTAGGAAATAGATTTGCTTTCAAAGTTTCAATTTTTCTTAATTTCATTCAAATCTTCCATTCCGCGAAGAACAGATTATTTATTTTCTGAGTTTCAATTATTCTTAATTTTAAATTCGATCTCGAATCTTAAATCTTTCCCCTACTTTCGTTACTGACGTGCTTCCTCTCGTGGCAGATTCCCGGCGGAAATCGTGGCGGTGGACGTAAGCGGAAGAGGATTCGAGAGAATGTCGACGAGGAGAAGATCTCTGCTGTCCGGCCCGGAGAGCCAAGAGACAGCGGTGAAGAGGCGATCGCGGCCTCGAAGGCCCAGAGGAAAAAGACGAAACACGATCGCTGGCACCGATCAGAAAGAAATTCGACAGGCTATAGGAGGGTGAGTTACGTCTCTGTAACGTTCGCGATTTTAAGAATTATTAAACCAAGTATTAACAAACTTGGTGTATAAAAAATCGATCGAGATTTATAGATTAAAACAATTATAGACGATAATATATATCCTGTACATTTATTTATCTTCGTAAAAATACTTTAACAATATCGACGCAATGTTTAGCTTTTTCCTAATTTAAAACTATTCCGTAATAAATGAAGATCTATCGAAGAACCGTTCGCAAAATCTTTCGATAAATAAAAGTGAAAATAAAAAACTCGAATTTACTCGACGGAATTGCTTTGAAAGCATCGATAACGATACTTTCGATCCCTTATAGAGAGATTAACCATACGATATGATGTTCAAATAATCGTACCGCCCCATTAGTATTTCTAGTTAATTAAAAATCCATCATCCTATCTTTCTTTCTCCCTTTTTCCCAGAGAAACGACCGGAGAGGAGGCGGAGGAGACGATATCGAACATGGGATCGAGAGCTCATCGATCAGCGAGCACGGACATATTGGGTTCGTCGAAGAAGGACTCGCCCGCGGAAAAGAAGTCTCACTTCAACACGTTGAAGGCGTGGGGTATGTCCAGATTGAAACTGATCAGCCCGAAATCGAGCCAGCAACAGCAGCAGCAACAACAGCAGCAGCAGCAACAGCAGCAGCAGCAACAACAGGAGCAGCAACAGGAGGGGACAGAGAGGTGAGAGCGAAAGGATCAGTCGGCGAGAGATGGAGGAAACGAATATTAACGAATAAAAAATGGGCAGGCGCAGGAAGGACAAGTCTCACGAAAGGAAGCCGAGCTCGTCGAGCTCGAGCGGGAAGAGCACCTCGAGCATACCTGTATCCGTGCCGAGCGGCGAGAGACAACCGAGCGTGAAATTGCGCGAAAGCGCGGCCCAAAGGAGGGAAAGACGAAAGGGAGGAAGCAGGGACGAGCCGCCTCATTCCAGTTCTGGAAACTGGAGTGCGTCCTCCGAAAGCGGAAGGGCGAGTATCGGAAGCGAGACGACCACCACCACGCACCAGCCGAGGTACGACTCGACTCTCGCTTTGACAATTTTAACGGCAGGCATTTTCTTTAATTAAAGGAAGGAAGAAAAACATTAAACGAAGAGAAACATAGTTAATAATTATATAACGAAGCAACGAAACAATTGTTTTTTTTTTTTACGAATGTTGTCCATTTTAAAACAAGTTTCGTAACGTCTCTTTTTCTTAGAATTTTGAAAATTCAATATTTTGCTATAACATGTAACGTATTGCGATTAATTATTTCTCAAGTGTCATTACACATATTGTTTTCTTTAGATAGGTAAATAGTAGGATAAACGAAGATAAGATCAATTATATTTACTCCTTGAGAGGAAGCAAGTATCATCGAATCAAATAACATTTCTTTATCACGAGTGGTATCACGTATCCTCTTCACGCACGTACTTAAGTTTTACTATCCGCTTTAACGAAGCGTTTTGTCCCGCAGATCGACGACGACAGCTTCGATTGGAACTTCCTCGACGTCATTGAGCCACGTGAGGCGTTTCAAAGGACGAGACACGTCGACCTCGTCCTCCGTGACTTCGGAGGGCACGCTGACCCCGGATATTATACAGGATATAGCCGTGGTACCGTTCTCGGACGACGGCGAGACGTCGTCCGTGTATTCCTGCGACACGGAGGGTTATTACACCTCGTTCCACGTGGACTCCGGGTTGAAAACGTTGAGGGAAGAGGATCCCGTCCCCCAGTGTCCATTGATGAAGTCGAACGACGTCAGCTCCGATCCTACCTCACCCATCATCGAAAACGAGTACGAACTGTTCGGAAGGGGGTCCACGTCGACGACCACCAGCTCCGCGGGCACAGTCTGTACAGCTTTAATGGCGCCACCCCCGCCTGAAAGAAAATCTAGCCTTACCGTTGTTGCTATGGTACGAGAAAATTCTTCTTGTTTCCAATAAAATTGTATACCTGTTAGAAGGCTATCGAACCGTTTCTCAAACCGATATTTTCCATATTAACTTCGATCGAATCTTCCCCTCTCTATTTTTGAAAAATTGTGAAGGGCTAATAAGAGATATCGATCGACAGGTTCACGGGCCGAATCAAAATGGCGGCGAGTCACCGGACAGCGGCCACAACACCTCGTCATCGCCCGTGGAATCGGCCTCGAGCCCTGCCTGCACGGGAAGGTCGTGCTCGGAATTCGAGTACTCCGAGTCGAGCGATCTCGAGGGGTGCGAGAGGATCGAGAGGATCCGTTCGAAGACCGCGATCAACACGAGCCGTATACCGTCCATGTGCGTGATCACCCCTC